GATTAAGAGCCTCCGGCAACCCACCCCAGACGGTCGCCATATTCTTTTTGTGAGCCAGCCCTGGAATGCGGTGCGTAGCGGGGGCAGGGTGGGGGGAGGGAGGAGGGGGAGGTTGGCATAAACGGGATGGAGGGGAGGGAGGGAGGGAGGGAGGGAGGGAGGGAGGGAGGGAGGGAGGGAGGAGGGAGGGAGGGAGGGAGATGAGGTAGATGAGGGAGGGAGGGAGGAAGGAGGAGAGGGCGTAAAAGACATGGAACGGGGGGAAGAAAAAATGATTGACGTGGGTAAAGAAGATATGAAAGGGAAGATATGGGTGATACTAACGGCAGATATGAACGGGGGGGTGGTGGGGGGGGGTTGTAAGAAGTGAGGTCATTCCTACAATAGCTGTCCGTGGGCAAGTTTGGCCGTATTACGTCATCATCGCCGTCATCACTATCACCACTACCGAGAGGGAAATACTGGCGTGCTGTTTGATAGATGGATAAATATTAAAGTGCATTCGCGATATAGGGCCTCTATCTGCTGAATTCATTCTCTTCAGTCTTTTTCTCTTCCGTTTTCTCTCTTAATATATATGTTGTGTACATGTGCATACATACAGGCAGACCCACATAGTGAGAAACATAAAATGTACAACTATAAACATACATATATATGCACACATAGACACACACACACATACACACACACACACACACACACACACACACACACACACACACACACACAATAAGGAGCCCAAAACAAGAGGCGGAACAAGCCGGGTCGCGGGGCAGCTTGTAAGAATTATCGCCAAATCGCCGGCGACAAGAGGCCCCTAAATATTACTTAATCCCACTTTCTCTAATTGGAACAAAGACCTTTCCGGCGACTCGGTGTTGGGGGGGGGGGGGGGAAGGATGGGCTAAAAAGGGGAATTGATAAGATAAGCATAATGAACATATCCGTGTAGCGGAGATATGCTTGTCTTCGGCCAGGAACAAGCGCGCCCACACAGCTGTCCACACACGCGCGCGTACATACATATAGGCACACACAAACACAAAGGCTCACACACACGCGACTGATAACCAAATGAAAGTACTAAGATATCCATGTACAGAGGTTTAGACACATAAAACACCAAATATGAAATCTCAAACGTACAAACACACCTAAGCGTATGAAAATATTCATGTAGAAATAAAATAAACGCGCGCGCGCGAACGCGTAGACACGTACCTGAGGGTGCAGGTCTGCTGAAGGCGGGGCAAGTGCAGGCCGCGAACTCCGAGTCCAGGTCATAGTAGTCCGGTGCAGGGTTCGGGGCGAGGGGGTCGCAGCGCCCCGCCCGACCCCCGTACAGCAGCGCGTCGATCTCCCGCTCCAGCAGCGCGAGGTCTGTGTCGTCGTGCACACCCACGATGGGCGACGGGGCCGAAGGGAGCGCGAGGGCGGCGCCACGCCCGGGGAGGAGTGTCTGGACCATGAGGTCGGGGGGCGCGACTCCTCCCTGGCGGCGGGCGAGGGGGCGCGCGGCCGCCGCCCCGGAGACGCCGCCCGTGGAAGCGACCCCGTGGACGCCAGGAGGGGCGAGCCGGCGCGGAGGCCGCCGGGGGCTCGCCGCCCCCTGGTGCCCGGCGAGCACCGCGATCCTGTCGACGCGCTTCGGGCCGCCGCTCGGGAGAGGCGGGCGAGGCGGCCCGACGAGACACGTGCGTGTCCCGAGGGGTGGCTCCTCCGGGGGACGCATTGCGCTGGGGAGCGGGGGATCCCCTGGGTGAGTAGCGGGTAAACCCTGGATTTCTGACTTCAGCAGGGGTGGCGTGCGGGGGCGGCGACCCCAGGATGCCCCCCCGGATCCCTGCTAACTGGTCCAGGTCGTAGTAGGATCCGTCCGAGCCGGGTCTTCGAGGCAGGCCCGGCGAGGGGGCGTTGCCCCCTGAGCTCGGGGACCGAGGGACGCGGGACATGACGCGCGTCCCCATGGCGATGCGGGGCTTGGAGGCGCCGCCGCTGCCCGAGGAGGAGCCGGTGGAGGCCAGGGAGGCCAGGGAGCCGCGCTTCTCTAGGCGGTGGTCCAAGTAGGCCGAGGGGTCGGGGAGCTCCGGAGTGGGACACGCACTCTTGTAGCCGCTGTCGACGCTGTTGCTGCCTGCGTAGCCCACCACGTCGGCGTCCGGGTGGAGGCGCGGCCCCCAGCACGAGGACGCCGACGGGGGCGGCGCAGGGGGCAGCAGGTCCCCCTCGTCGCTGTCCGGGTCGCCAATGGCACTGATGGTGTCAAGCAGCGGGTTGTCCACCGACCGTCTCAGGCGACGCGGACGGCGGCGGCGGCGGGGCGAGGCCAGCGCCAGGTCGTCGCGCGCCGTGAGGGGCGAGTGCGAGCCCGCCCCGTGGGAGGCGGAGGGCATCGCGCCCTGGGGGAGAGCCACCTCGGCCATGTGGGCGCGGCTGGTGGGGATTGAAGCAGCGACGTCGCGACTGGGGGAGGAGGCGGAAGCGTGGCTGGAGACGGAGCCCAGGCTGGTCACCACATCCCGCGGGCTGTGGGCGCCCAACCCCCCGGGTGGCGCAGGCGGGGGCGGCGCCTCGTTCCCGGAGGTGCCTGTGGGGGAAGGGCGCGAGGCGGGGCTGCCTTCTCCCGACGTCTGCTGGTGATCTATGAATTCTTCGAAGGTAGCGTACATGTGCCAGATTTGACGCGTGAAGTCATCGCCCTGCAGGGACAACTCCGCCTGTGGAAGAGAGAGAGAAGGAAATAAGAACACTGATTTCAAATAGAACTTACATAGTTATATATGGCGAACGAGGCTAAGAGCACTGCGATGTTTACACGAAAAAAAAGAAAACTGAGGCGAGGGGCGTGAAAGCTAGCATCATGTTCTTGATATGGAAAAGGCATTCTAACACGTCATACTTTCATCCCCATGTTTACACGACCAACACTTGGCAAAGAGCAAATAGACGCTCCCAGACAAGACGAGGTCACACTCCACGCAACTTAAGGGAGCAGAACGGAGGTCAGAGGTCAGACCATCAGCCGACGCAGTCCTGTTCGTCGAGAGCCCGTTAAGGACCAACACAACATAAAAAAAACGAAGTCATCCCAAAGGAGAGAAAACCAAGACAAAATACGAAAGTCGAGACAGCAAGAGGATGGAAACAAAATCCTTAGACGGCGAGAATCCGTTCACTTATTCCTTCCCCTTCCTCTATCCCTTATACCTCCCTTCCTCCCCCTCCCCTGCTACGGTCGCGAGCTCTGCATTCAAAGAACGAACAAGAGGGGAAAAGCACAAAACAGGAAATCGAGAAGAGTGAAGAAAAGAAAAAGGCAAAACAAAAAAAGAAACCGCAAATAAATAAAACATTAAAAAACCCACAGCTGCAATCAAATCACGAAATACACCGAAGTAAAGGACACTTAAAAACATACTAACAAGAGAGGAGAGAGAGAGAGACAGAGGCAGAGACAGAGAGACAGAGAGAGAGAGGGGGAGGAGAAACCACACGCCCGCAACCCTGCTGATTCCCTAAGCTGGTTCTCGTTATGCCAGTATCGCAATCTGTCCGTTCGTCTGTCACACAAACAAGCTTTCCAACTGACACATAAACTGCAACATTATACAGAAGACCAATTAAAGGAGATATCATCTTATTAGCTTATTAATGGGATGGGATTATCAGAATTACTACGAGATGGTGATGTCGTGAGCAGACGAATGTAGGCACGGGTTTGAGACGAGGGAGAGGAGGGGAGAAAAGAGAAAAGAAAAGTGGGGAGAAGTGAGGAGAGGAGAAGAAAAGGAAGGGAAGGGGAAGGGAGGGGAGGAGCGGAGGGGAGAGGACAGGGAAGGGGAAGGGGAGATAACTGAATAGAGAAAAAAATGGAGAAGACTGAGGAAGGAGGGAAAGGGGAAAGGAGGAGAGAAGAGAAAAGTTGAAAAGAGAAGATAAGAAAAGGAAAAACAAACGAAGGCAGAAGAAAAGACAAGAGAGGAAGGAAAGGAAGAGACAGAGAGACAGACGGAAAGAAAAAAGAGACAGAAAGGGTGAGAGAGAGAGAGAGAGAGAAACCCGGAAACTAATCCAGAGAAAAGTTCTCTCCTCGAATACTAATAAAATACCTTTCACCGCAAATGCCACAGTCTCCCTTAACCCCCTCCCACATCAGGTTAAGTGATAACACCAAGATAACCGCTAAAGAGGTCTAATGAATCCTACTAAACCAAGATAACGTGCAATCTTTTAATAATCTAGGCTCGTATTTTCCCTTCATATCACAGTCCGCTACTGGTCATGGTTCCTGCTCTGTGATTGGTTGATTATGGAGCTACGGGGTATCTTATATTGCGTGTGATTGGTGGAATGCAAGTTAAGGACTATCCTATCTTGCATGTGATTGGTTGACCGCGAGCAGCCAGGTATGTTATCCTTTCTGTGATTGTTAGACTACGACCAAAGAAGTATCTTAGCCTGCGCGGGATTGGCTGACTGGGAGATAATAGCTATCAGGTATTTCATGTCACCGGCCAGTAGTTGCTTCATGTTAAATGGCGTATCTCTGTTCAAATAGGTCAGCAACCTACGATGATAACTGCTATGTAGTTTTTAAATCAGAATGGTGGGATACATAGGAACAAAGGAGCTAAGGCAGTGCTAGTAATGATGATGATGATGATGATGATGATGATGATGATGATGATGATGATGATGATGATGATGATGACAACAGAAACAAAAAAAATCAACAATCATACCAGTAATCATACTGTTCCTCATGCTTACACCCTCCATGTTATTATAATCCTAAAACCTTAAATTGTAGAGAGAGAAAAAACAACAGTCAGACAGACAGACAAACAAACAGCGCGGAAAATAGGGTTCAGTTCCCAATGGTATGCCGGGGTGTAGAGACACACTTATTTGGGGCATCTGGAGTGTTGTTTGTATTGCTGATGCGGTGTGTTGCGATGGGGTGGGGGTGGGGGTAGGAGAGAGGAATGATGGGGAGGGGGGAGGTGGGAGGTTGAGGGAGGGAGGGGAGAGGGTAGAGGGGAGGTGGGGGGGAAGAAGGGAGGGAGGGGGAAGGAGGGAGGGTGGTTGAGGGGAGAAGGGGAAGAGGGACCAAGAGAGGAAAGGAAGGAATGAGGAAGACAGTAAAGAAGAAGAAAGAGGAGAGAAAGAAGGAAAGAGAGAGAGAGACACTATTAGAAAACGAGACACACACTAAGAGAGAGAGAGAGAGAGAGAGAGAGAAACATAAAAACAAACAAACAAACAAATACACAAAGAGACAAAAAACACCCAGAAAGAAGACGACCACCCCCCCCCAAAAAAAAAATAATAATAATAATAAAAAAAAATCTTTCTTTTCTTTTATATATTATTTTTCTGGTCTTGACGAGTCCCAACCCACGCAAAGGCTTCTTGACCATTACCCAGTATGTGGCGCTTCAATTTTCTCAAACTTTCTAAACTTTATTAAAGGAGTTGGTGGCTTTTGGCTTTCTTTTCATTTGCTTATTTTCTCATTATTTTTTCTCTCTCATTCTTTTCATTTGCTTCTGTCTTCATATTTTCTTTCATTTCTCTTTTTTCTTTCTTTTTTTTTCTTTTCTTTCTTTTCTTTCTTTTACTTTCTTTCTTCTTCTCTTCTCTCTTTCTTTCTTTCTTTCTTATCTCTCTCTCTCTCTCTCTCTCTCTCTCTCTCTCTCTCTCTCTCTCTCTCTCTCTCTCTCTCTCTCTCTCTCTCTCTCTCTCTCTCTCTCTCTCTCTCTTCTCTCTCTCTCTCTCTCTTCTCTCTCTCTCTCTCTCTCTCTCTCTCTCTCTCTCTCTCTCTCTCTCTCTCTCTCTCTCTCTCTCTCTCTCTCTCTCTCTCTCTCTCTCTCTCTCTTTACATCCTCTTTCATCATCACATATCTTACTCATCTTCATCCATTTTTTCCACTTCCCTCTTTACCTAATATTTCCCTACTCCCTCATTCTCTCCCTCCATGTTCTCATTTCTTTCCTTCCTTCTCTCTCAGTGGCGAAAGAATGAATCATAAGCGCCGGGGGGGGGGGGGGGAGGCGAAGATGGTTTGCTGTTTGTTTGTTTGTTTGTCGATGCTGCGAGGAGGGAGATGAAGATGACGGGAGGGAGGGAGGGTAAGAGGGAAAGAGGAAGGAATAAAGGGAGGGAGGGAGGAAGGGAGGGAGAGGGACGGACGGACGGAGGGAGGAGGGAGGAGAGCGAGAGAGACAGACAGAGAGATAGAAAGGCAGACAAACAGACAGACAGAGAGACAGAAAGACAGAGAACCAAACGCCCAAACCACTCAGAACCCACCGAAAGAGACCGAGAAGCGAGCCAACGAACGCAAGACGAGCCCGAGGACGCACACAACCCCTCGGCGCGCGCACGAGGCTCACTCCCTCAAGTCGCATCGAAGTCACCAGTCATGCGAGACCTCTCCCTAGGACCTCTGCCTGTCTCATCCCCACGCCTGTCACCCAGATAAGGAAAGGGACGCCTGAGATCACTCCCGTTGCGTGTGCGTGGGTGCGTGTGCGTGCATGTGTATCTGCGTTATTAAGAGGTCCTCGCCCCATGAAAGAGGTGATTGTGATGCTGATGACATGACAGGGTCAATCGTCATCACCATCGCTCTGACAGTGTTCGTAATGGTAGAAGTACAATGACAAAACAACAATGACAATAATGATAACATAATGATGATGACAATAATGAAAATGAAGAGGAGAATAAAAATAACAAAAACAATAAAGATAACAATATCAAACCAATAAAGATAACAATAATAAAACAATAAAGATAACAATAATAAAAACAATAAAGATAACAATAATATAAACAACAATAACAGAGAAACTTGGGAAAAAAGGTTGTGAATGATATTATCTCCATTGCCATCGTCATAAACATCCCAAGTTACACACGATTTTACCGCAACGCGACCCTGATCTTGGCCGTGGCGGAGGACGGCTAATTCAGGGTCACACAACCAACCTTATCCTTCCCTTTTCTCAACAACTCTATTTGCGTTCCGTCGTTTTATTATCATCATTATTATTATTATTATTATTATTATTATTATTATTATTATTATTATTATTATTATTATTATTATTATTATTATTATTACTATTATTTTTCTCAAGTCGTTTTATTTTCACTACGCATACAATCCTCCCATTTCAGAATATACTACAACTATAATAAACTCAAGTATTTCTTCAGCTAAAATAACCTTGAGTATTCCTTCAACTACAATACACTTCAGTATTCCTTCAACTACAATAAACTGCAGTTCTCATTTAACTATAAGAAACTCGAGTGTTTCTTGAACTACTAAAATGAGTTTTTTTTTCATGGACTTTATTGCCACAATCACATGCACTCGAAACGCAGACTGTCTTCTCACGTCGATGCTTACAATTCAAAATAATTAACAAGCACAAAAAAAGAACAAGGACAAAAAGAAAATCTCATTTACCGCAATTACCTTTAACTAAATACATCAACCCTAATAAGACGACGAAAAGAAGGGGAAAAAGCTAGACAAGAAAAACACACAAAAAAAGGAAAAATAAGAAAGGTACAGCAGCACACAGTGTAATCGGAATGAAAATATAGAAAAAGAAGAGGAGAACATGTCAATTACCAGACTATAAATGTCGGCCATGTTGGCGCGATCCGTCTGCCAGTAACCCAGCCTCCGGGCCAGTCGCTTCGCCCAAAGATGAAGTATGCAAGGAGGGAGTTACTCGCGACGGGTAACTTCTTACACGTTTTCTTATTTTCTCTTTGTTGGTCTTTATTCTCTTTCTTTCTCTGTCTTTCTCTTTCTTTCCCTCTTTCTCTCTCTCTCTCTCTCTCTCTCTCTCTCTCTCTCTCTCTCTCTCTCTCTCTCTCTCTCTCTCTCT